TTAACATTGGCTGGATTGCATTATTGCTTCCCCTTTATCCATCTAGATTATTGGTTACTTTGTCCATAACAATCCAGTCATCCTTTATTATGTAATAATAGAATCACAGATGCAGGCGAATATTTGCACCCGTTTATTTGTACAATTCATACACCAGACTTATAATTTTCATGGTAAAATTCAGTCCACTCACATTCACCACAGTACGTAAATTTATAACAAGATTTGTCCCACAGCCTGAAATTGATGTTTAGAACCTTAGATCTATTAAAACCCATTATCTTCAATCACTTCATTTACAGATGCGTTAACGCTGGAAACAGCACAACAATCGAGAATTTGCACACACACAGACTCAGCACTGGTGAGTTCAAGTCGCAGGCAGAGATATTTAAAGATACAAAACCCACTGACTAAAATAATAGTTTTGAGCATGAGTAGACAGTACAACACTGTCTTGCCTCCCCTGTCCACTAGCTAATACCACCCTATTAAATATATCCCAGTTATGTATTTGGCCAGTGCCTTATCTGCATAAAACAAACATTTGGTGGGTTGTGCAGGTAGGCCAACACAACCCATGACAAAGACGACTCCAGGCAGGAACAAAGGTGTCGGCAACTTCCATTACTGAACTTTGGTATTCAATATGTCATTCACTGAAGGCGACAGACACCTATGCGAATGCGTATAGCAGCAGCAGGTAAATATTGTGAACTCAGGATTCTTTCAGCCACCTTTCAGTTTCCACACTCACTATCCATCCAGCAATGGTACTACCCTCTAATGTTACTTGCTTTCCAGTATCATCCCCACACCTGTCCACCGCGAACATCGACGAAAAGATTCCAGCATCGAATCCAAATATTGCATCAAACCATTGGCAGACTCTGTACCCACATGTATTTCCCGGCTGGCAGGGGCTGAAATTATCTACAAAGTTGCACCTGTCGAGCTGTATTCAGTCCACTCCCCACCGTGTTATATGGCAGTGAGACATAGGTACACATACAGGAGCACCCTCAAGGCGCAAAACTTTCACCAGCGCCAGTCACCACGTTCCCATCCTCCAGAGTTCGCTGAACAAGAACAAATTCCAGTATCCTCTTTTACACCAGCTTTAGGAGCATCAGGCTGCACCGGGTATTCAGCCACCATTTCAGGACTATGCATGTTACCCGCATGGACGACAGTAGACTGCCAAGAAGCTGCTTCCACCCAGTCACCTGAAATGAATAATGTCACGTAACTCTGGCCAGTGGCCCCTGAAATTATTAGAGATAGTCGCCGAGACAAACCCTGAAAAGTGCCAAATCGACCCCCTCACCCGCAGGGCAATTACTCACATCAGCATGGTTTGATCACCACAAAATTATCCAATACTTTCAGATAACCGACTGCAAACCGAGACGAACAAACGCCAAGGGCCGAAAGACAGCTGCCGCTGCCCTCCCACACTAGATAGATCCCTCCACATGCCAGCATCTGTGGACGACCTTGCCAGTCCCTGTCATTCTTTGTCCTCAAAATTCACCTATCAGGTGACGTCCCTAACTCTTTTCATTTGTACCACCAGCTGGTGATGTCATACTCGATTCACGACAAAGTAGTAGTATTAAATTGGCCAGAATTGTGTTTCTTCGGCAGTGGCCAAAATTATTGCGACTGGCTGTGTAGTGGCAGAACAGCATTGTTGATTTCAATTTCGAATTTCATTGTTTTATTCGCCAGTCGAGATACCAGATGCTGTCGCCTGAGCGCCCTGTACAATAAAACCAGAAGCATCACAGCAGTGTCACAAGTATATGCAGTCTAAATATTATAAAGGCTTACTAAAATACAAGATATTCATTTAACACGCAATCAATCATTACATTTACCGAAATGTCACAGCCAGTGTGGGATCATCGTGTCTCCGATCAGGGGGTCATTAGATGTGTGGTCCAGCAGATCACAGGCTTGTTATTATTAAGACATCTTAGTGATGAATAAAAGTGCTGCTGTCAGATGTATACATAATACACAAAACGTTGCTCGAGATGCAGGCCAATCTCCCAAACAAAGTCATGCAATGTGATCTGAGTTGCATAAATTATTATCTCCAATGTAAAGTGCCAAAATTATTATGTCTACGGCAGTGTCCCAGATGTAAGTGTGTGCTATACCTAAAACTGTGTGTCTGGCTGTGCAGGCGTAGGGCCTGTGTCTGGGGCTGTATGGGGTGTGTGTGCTGTGCCTGGGCTGTGAGGGTGTGTGTGTGCTGGCCACCTAGGATGTGTGGGAGATGTGTAGGCCTGTGGGTGTGTGGCTGTACCTAGGGCTGTGTGAGATGTGTGTGCTAGGATGTGTAAGTGTAGGCCTGTGCAGTGTGTGTGCTGTGTGCACCTAGGGCTGTGAGAGGTGTGAGCCCTGTGTCCTAGAGACTGTGTAAGTGTAAAATTGTGTGTACTGTACCTAGGGCTGTGTGTGTGGGCTGTAGGAGTGGCCAGTGTACTGTACCTAGGCTGTGTCAAAAGCTTGTAAGTGTGTGTACTGTGCCTAGGGCTGTGTAAGCCTGTAGGGTATTGAGTGCTGTGCCTGGGGACTTGATGTGGGGTGTGGGGTGTGGTGTGGTGGCCACTTGTGGTGTGTGTGGGTGTGAGATGTGTGTGCCTTTCAGTACCTAGGGCTGTGTGTGGGCTGTGAGGGTGTGTGTGGTGTGCAGCAGTGTGTACAGCCAGGGTGGCCAAGGGTGTGTGTGTGCTGTACAAGGCTGTGTAGGTGTGAGTGTGTGTGTGTGTGCCTAGGCTGTGTAAGTGTAAGTGTGTGTGTGTGCTGGTATGTGTGGGTGTGTAAGTGTGTGTGCACTGTACACAGGCTGTGTGTGAGTGTGAGTGTGTGTGTGTGTGGTATGTGTGTAAGTGTAAGTGCTGTACCTAGGGCTGTGCCAGCTGTAAGTGTGTGTGTGCCCACATGTGTAAGGATTAATGAGATGTGTGCCTGTACCTGGGGCTGTGTGGTGTAGGGTGTGTGTGCTGTACCTAGGAGGCTGTGTAGAATTAGCCCAAGTGTGTGTACTCTACCTAGGAGTGTGTCCTACTGTACCTAGGCTGTGTAAGTGTAAGTGTGTGTGCTGTACCTGGCTGTGTAAGTGTGTGTGTGTATCTATGTGTGAGAACTTGCCCCCCCACCCATCCTTCTACACACACACACACACACCTACACACCTATTAATAAAACAAATTTGTATTATTATTATTATTATTATTATTATTTATTATTATTATTATTACACACACACAGACACACCTCACCCCGACAACTAGACCTGCCCCTGACTCTCACTTCACCCTGGCAGCACACCCTACTTCACCTCTGATAGATTCTGCTTCACCCTGTACACCCTAAGCCTGCCCTGAAGCAGCCCACACCCTCCTTCACCCTGGTCAGGCCTCCCTCCTTCACCCTGGCAACACCGCCCTCACTTCACCCCTGAATGGAAACCCCTGCTTCACCCTGGCAGCCTGCCCCTGCTTCACCCTGGCTTGGCCGCACCCACCTTCTGCCCTGTGACACACCCTGCTTCACCCTGGCAGCACACCCTGCTTCACCCTGACACCCCTGCTTCACCCTGGCAACCTGCCCTGCTTCACCCTGGCAGCGCCCTCTTCACCCTGGCAGCCTCATCACCCTGTGGCCACCCTCTCCTTCACCCTGGCATCACGCCCCTGCTTCGCCTGGTACACCCTACTTCACCTGACAGCCACCCTGCATTCACCCTGACCAGCCTGCCCTGCTTCGCCCTGGCGGCCACCCTGCTTCGCCTGGCGGCCACGCCTGCTTCACTGGCTGACACACCTGCTTCGCCCTGTGTGCCCTGCTTCACCCACCGGCAGCCACCCTAAATCGCCCATGGCAGGCCCGCACCCTGCTTCGCCTGGCAGCCCTGCCCTGCTTCACCCTGACCAGACACCCTCTTCACCCTGGCAGCCCACCCCTGCATCACCCTGGCAACACACCCGACTTCACCCTGAGCCAGCCACACCCTGCTTCGCCCTGGCAGCCCGCCTGCTGCACCCTGGCAGCCACCCAGAACTTCGCCTGACCAGCGCACCCTGCTTCGCCTGGCAGGCCACCCTCACTTCACCCTGCGGCCACCCCTGCACCTCCGCCTGGCAGCCACACCCTGCTTCACCTGGCAACACACCTGCTTCCGCCTGGCCAGCACACGCACTCACACCATCTATATTACTTGCCTCATAAATTCAGTCGTTAGCTGATTGGATGAATTGAGACGTGAGATTCCAATGAATGAAGATTGGGAGACCCATCATATATATATATATATATATATATATATATATATATATATATATATATATATATATATATATATATATATATATATATATATATATATATATATATATATATATATATATATATATATATATATATTTGTATGATCGCGGGTATAAATTCAGTGCGTAGATTTGGATTGCATCATAAAGACTGGGTCGGGTGCGGTGGCAATTAATAGGCATCGCAGGTGGTTTGATATACGCTGCCAGCTGAAGCCTGTGTTATTATTGGTATTGAGGTATTGTTATTGATGTTATTGTGTCACAATTACTAACTCAGATATCTTTTCTGACCGCTGGCAGACGAGATTAATAGATCATACCTGGTGGCCTTCCCAGTTTTCACAGGTGAGTTAGGCCCTCTACACCTCCTGCACTTGGGATCATTCCACGCCTGCACCAGGTCCTCCCACCACCACCAGGTCTCCCTGCACCACCATCAGGTCCTCCTACCACCATTGAGTCTCACCACCACCACCAGGTCCTCCTACACCACCACCAGGTCACTCCTGCACTGCCACCAGGTCCTCCTGCACCACCGCAGGTCATCTACGCTACCACAGGTCATCTACACCACCACCACCAGGTCCTCCTCACCACCAGGTCACTCCCTCCCGCCACCAGGTCCTCCTGCACCCACCACCAGGTATCACACCACCACCAGGTCACTCCTACACCGCCACCAGATTCATCCTACACCACCGCCACCAGGTCATCACCACACCCACCACCGGGTCATCCTGCCGCACCGCGCAATACGCCACCACACATACCGCCCAGATTAATACGCTGCCAGTTATCTACACCACCACCAGGTCACTCCTACACCACCACCAGGTCCATCCTACACTACCAGGTCACTCCACCACCACCAGGTCATCTACACACCACCAGGTCTCACCACACACCCACCACCGCCAGGTCATCTACACCACCCTTGGTCACTCACACACTGCCACCTGCCTCCTGCACCCCACCGGGTCACTCCTGCACTGCACCACCAGGTCACTCCTGCACCGCACCAGATACCTGCACCGCCGCCAGGTCACTCCTACACCGTCACCCAAGTCACTCACACTACCACCAGGTCACTCCTACACTACCACCGGTCCTCTGCACCCATCACCAGATCACTCCTGCACTGCCACCCGGAGTCCTCCTGCACACTGCCACCAGGTCCATCCTGCACCACCGCAGGTCATCCTGCACCACCACCAGGGTCCTCCTGCACCTGCACCAGTCTCCTGCACCACCACCAGGTCCTCCTGCACCACCACCAGGTCCTCCTGCACCATCACCAAGTCCTCTACACTACCACCAGGTCATCACCACACCATCACGAGTCCTCCCCACACCACCACCAGGTCCTCCTACACCACCACCAGGTCACTCCACACCACCACCAGGTCCTCCTACACCACCACCAGGGCCTCCTACACACTGCCACAGGTCATCCTACACCACCACCAGGTCATCTACACTACCATCAGGTCACTCCCCACACCAATCACCAGAGTCCTCCTGCACACACCACCGCAGGTCACTCTACACTGCCACAGGTCCTCTACACTGCCACCAGGTCCTGCACCGTCACCAGGTCATCCCCACACACCACCACCAGGTCCTCCTACACCACCACCGGGTCACTCCTACACCACCACCAGGTCCTCACCACACCACCACCAGGTCATCTACACTGCCAGGTCATCACACTGCCATCCGATCATCACGCATCACCAGCTCATCCTGCACTGCCACCAGGTCCTGCACACTACCACCGGGTCACTCTACACCACCACCAGGTCCTCCTACACACCACCACCAGGTCATCACACCACCACCAGGTCCTCCTACACCACCACAGAGATCACTCCTACACCTGCAGGTCACTCCTGCACCATCACCAGTCACTCCTACACCACCGGCTCACTCCTACACTACCACCAGGTCACTCCTACACCACCACCAGGTACTCACACTACCACCAGGTCACTCCTGCACTGCCATCAGGTCACTCCCACACCATCGCCAGGTCCTCCTGCTGCTGCCACCGGGTCACTCCTACACTACCACCAGGATGCCTGCACCACCAGGTCATCACACCATCACCAGTCACTCCTGCACTGCCACCAGGTCATCACACTGCAGGTCACTCCTGCACCTGCCAGGTCATCTGCACCACCCCGGATCATCACCACCACCAGGGTCCTCCTACACCACCACCAGGGTCATCCTACACGCCACCGCGGGTCATCTCACCATCACCAAGTCACTCCTGCACTACCACCAGGTCTCTACACTATCAGGTCTCTTACTACCACCAGGTCTCTCCTACCACCAGGTGCTCCTACCACCAGGTACTCTACCATCACCAGGCCTTCACACTACCCAGGTCACTCTCACCACCACCAGGTCTCTACCATCTTCGTGTCTCTACCATCACCGAAGTGCTCCTACACTACCACCAGGTCCTCCTACACTACCACCAGGTCTCCTGCTCTGCCACCAGGTCACTGCTCACCGTCACCGGGTGCTCCACCACCACCGGTCATCTACACCGTCACCGGGTCTCTCCTGCACCACCGCAGGGTCTCTGCTGCTCTGCCGCAGGGTCTCTACACTGCCAGGGTCATTCTGCGGGTCTTCCACCATCACCGGTCTCTCCTGCACTACCAACGGGTTCTCTGCACTACCACCGCTGCTACGCTCCACCGGGTGTATGCCACTACCGGGTCTCTACACTGCACCACCAGTCCTCCTCACCCACCACCGGGTCTTCTGCTCACTACCACCAGGTCTTCCTACACCTGCCGGGTCGTCTACACTGCTGCTCCTACACCAGGTGTCTGCACCACCACCAGGTGGTCCTACCTACCGCCAGGTCTCTACACTACCATCAGGTGTCCACACCATGGGTGTCCTCTACACCTGGTCTCTGCATGCCCCAGGTCTCTACCAGGTCCTCTGACACCACCGCAGGTCTCCTGCCTACCAGGTCTCCACTGGGTTCACACTTCCACCGGGTCTCTACACGGCACCATGCCAGGTCATCCTACCTACCACCAGGTCCTCCTGCACTACCACCAGGTTCATCTACACTACCGCGAGGTTCTGCACCTGGTGAATCTCTACCAGGTGATCCTGCACCGCAGCCTTCCGGGTCTCCTGCACCACCGTCACCAGGTCCTCCTGCACTGCCACCTGACGGTCATGCTGCCACCGGGTTTAATCCTGCTGACCGGGTTCTGCACCACCGGGTTACTCTGCACCACCACCGGGTCGCCACCACCAGGTTCTTCTCACCACCGGGTCTGCCTGCAGTGTTGTACCGACCAGGTCTCTGCATCTGCAGGTCTGCTACTGCACCGGTCACTCTACTACCAGTCTCCTACACCACCACCGGGTCACTCTACCGTGGTGATCTGCACTGCTGCAGGTTCTCTGCACTTGGTCATCACCGAGGTCTCTACACTACCGGGTGCTCTGCACTATCGCCGGGTGCTCTGCACCTCCAGGTCTCTTTACTGCCACCAGGTCTTCCTGCACCGTCACCTGATTGTGCTCTGCTACCGGTGTCTCTGCACTGCCACCGGGTCTCTTGCCACCGGTTCATCCCACACCACCACCAGGTGATCTACACTGCCACCAGGTTTCACCCACCAGGTCCTGCGGTCATCTACTACCACCGGGTGACCACCACCAGGTTCTCTGCACCACCGGGTCTCTGCACTACCGGGTCATAACGCCACCACCAGGTGCTCTACCACCACCGGGTCACTCCTTTACACCACCAGGTCATCACACACCACCACCAGGGTCTCTCCTACCACCACCACCAGGTCATCCTACACACCATCACCAGGTCCTCCTACGCACCACCAGGTCATCCCACCACCACCACCACCAGATGCTCCTACACCATCACCAGTCCTCCTACACTACCACCAGGTCATCCTACACCACGCAGTGCTCTACACCACCACCAGGTCCTCCTACACTACCACAGGTCTCCTACACCACCACCAGGTCCTCCTACACCACCACCAGGTCTCCTACACCATCACCAGGTCCTCCTGCACTACCACCAGGTCTCTCCACACCACCACCAGGTCATCACCACCAGGTCTCTCCACCACGGGTCACTCCTGCACTACCACCAGGTCCTCCCACACCACCGCAGGTCATCTCCACCATCTGCGGTCTCCTACACCATCACCGGTCCTCCTACACCACCACCAGGTCCTCCTACACTCACCACCAGGTCATCACACCACCACCAGGTCTCCTACACCACCACCGGTCATCTCACCGTCACCAGTGTCTCACCACTACCACCAGGGTCCTCCCACCACCACCAGGTCCTCCTACACCACCACCAGGTCACTCCTACACCACCACCAGGTCCTCCTCACCACCACCAGGTCCTCCTACTCCATCACCAGGTCCTCTACACTACCACCAGGTCTCTACACCACCACCAGGTGCTCCTACACCACCACCAGGTCCTCTACACCACCACAGGTCACTCTACACCACCACCAGTGCCGCTGGGTCTCCTGCACCACCAGGTCATCACACCACCACCAGGTCACTCCTACACCATCACCAAGTCTCCTGCGCTGCCACCGGGTCATCTACACTGCCACCGGTCACTCTGCACCATCACCAGGTCATCACCACCACCAGGTCGCTCTACACTACCGTCAGTCTCACCCACCACCAGGTATCCTGCACCACCACCAGGGTCCTCCTGCACCACCACCAGGTCCTCCTACACCACCACCGGGTCCTCCTACTCCACCACCAGGTCCTCCTGCACTGCCAGGTCTCTGCACTACCAGGTCATCTGCACCGTCGCAGGTCTCCTGCACCGCCGCAGGTCCTCCTACGCCACCACCAGGTCCTCCTGCACCGCCGCCAGGTCATCCTGCACCAGGTCGTCTACCTGCACCGGTCCTCCTGCACCACCACCAGGTGTCCTGCACCTGCCATCGGTCCTGCACCATCGCCAGGTCTTGCCTACCACCGATTCTCTACGCTGCCACCAGTGGTCCTACGCACCACCACCAGGTCACTCCTACACCATCGCAGGTCATCCCACACACCACCACCAGTCACTCCTCACCACCACCACCAGATCATCTACACCACCGCAGGTCATCACTGCACCACCAGGTCATCACACTGCCATCAAGTTCATCGCACCGTCACCAGGTCATCCTACACTGCAGGTCATCTACACTACCACCAGGTCCTCCTGCACCACCACCAGGTCACTCCTGCACCACCAGTTCATCACCACACCACCACCAGGTCCTCCTACGCCACCACCAGAATCATCTCTACAC